TTCTTTAAAGGCAGAGTCATGAGTTTCTTTGGTATCCCCTAAAAGCCAGCACAGTCCAGGGCACCAGGAAATACTAGTGGCTGAAGGAATGTGTGTATAAGTATCTTCTTAATTTTAATAAACTTGAAAGTGAGCCAGAAAACCTAGTTTGTGTTGCATCATAGTTTCCTAGTTAACATTTTTGTTGTTGTTGTTGTGATTAGTTCTGTTTTTTTTCTGATTAGTTTGTTTCAATTAAACACTTTTGTGATCATTAAAATGTTTATAAACAGTGGGAAATATGGAAACCTATGAGAAAGATCATAAAACACCCAAGTAGTGTTTTAAGAGTGTATTTTAACATAGATGACTTTTCTCAGAGTCATGATTATGGGGCTGTTGCTCTCCCATCTTGTGTTCTCCGTTAAGGAAGGGACACAGTTCAGAGGCAATTAATCAGGCCTTTTGCTTTTTCCTAGGACCTCTATCACATGATCTTTAACATATTTGGAATATGGTATATATCAGTTACTCTGCTCAGCCAATCCTGAGTCACTCCCAGCTAATCATTATTTTAGGGTGTTTTTTGGGGGGAGAAGGCAGGGGAGGGGGGTGTTGGGTAATAAAAAGTCTTTAGTTTGTAAACTTTTAGCTTAAATATTGTACAAAAAAAGATACTAATCTTTTAAATCTCTAAAAATATGTTAGCTAAGAACGTATTTTTGCTGTGTTAATTTGACCTTTGTAACATTCAGCATCTTATATGCTCAGTGGCCATCGATATTTCTTCTGTGAATAGCCTCATCGACTCCATGCCCCTATTTTTAAAAATGTTTTGTTGTTTTGTCTTTCATTATAATGTAATTATAACATTATTATTATTAATTTTTAGGAGGTTTTATTTTTATTGCTGTCACATATTACAAATATTTCTTCCTGCCTGTTGGTTTGCCTTTTGACTCTGATTATGGTATATTTTGCTATACAGGAGCTTAAATTTATATGTGGTTAAATTAAACTTTCTTAGTTTTTTCTGACTTCTGCGTATCTTACCTTGCTCAGGAAATCCTCTTTGTCCCAAGGCGGTATTATTCTTGTACTATGTTCTTTATTTTATTTCAATAACTTCTTAACCCTCCCTTCTCAACTCCTTCCCTCTTTCCTTCCTTCTTTCCATCTTTCCTTCCTTCCTTCCAGTATTTAGACCTTTAAACCATTTGGAATTTATTGTTTGTTTCTGTTATGAGTTTGGGATCAAATTTTATATTCTTCCATATTCCTTATACCACTTAATCCTGGCTCAGTGAATTGTACCCATTGAAATGTTCTTACATAGGATCTTTTTTTTTTCCTGGCATTTATCCCGGGGCAAAGAGCCAAGAAGACTGTTAATCGGCCTTTCTCCAAAGCTTTCCCTTCTGGCTTCCCCATGACCTGCCTCTATCTCCCTCTCCTCTGTTAAGCAACTTTCAGTATTCTCTAAGTCAGCTTCCATATTTGCTTTCATTAATCTCTTTCCTTTAGAGCAAAGGTCACCAAACTTTTTCTGTAGAGGGCCAGATAGTAAGTACTTTGGACTTTGCAACCACTTAACTATGCCTTTGTGGTGCAAAAGCGGCCACAGCCCCTAAGCTGGGAATGTGTGAGGCTTTGTTCCAATCCAGCCTTATTTCTGGACAGTGAAATTTGAATTTCATAGGATTTTCCCTTGTCAAAAATTACATTCTTGATTTGACTTTTCCCCCTACCATTTAGAAAATGTAAAAGCCTCTCTTAGAGCATGGGTTGTATAAACACAGGAGGTATGCTGAATTTATCCCTTGGGTTGTGGTTCACTCTTCTCCACTCAGGAGCCGCCAGCAAGGGCACTTTGCTCCTGTCCTGGATTCTCCCTTCTCGCAAAGGTGTGGCAGGTCTCAGGAACGCAACTGCAAGCACTTCACTTCTGGTTTGAACTGAGCTTAGTAAATAACACGGTACATTTCAGTTTTTCAGGCTTCCAAATTCCGGAACTAAGTCCCAATATACACATGACTTCAGAGTTTTATTTCCAGTGGGTATCACGTTCCCTTGTTCAGTTTAGTTTGAATGTTGTATTGAGAATATTGTCTTTTGGAAGGGGATATTTATTCTACTAGGGCAACTTAAAACATGTTAATTTATTCACAGCCTTATAGACTACTTTTGCAAGATCATTTTGGTACAGAATATGCTTTTCTGGGAGCGTAAGTGCTATCTTTAGAAAAAAAAATTGCATTGGCCACTACAATTGTTTTTGGTAAAATGCTCATGTGCACTGAAACCCTTGAAATTGTTGGCCTCCGAGGATCTATGTCTCTGCCACAGGAATCCCAAGTTGAGTGATGCAACTCATAGCTTAATGATCTTTTGGGCCATCATCTCATAATCCTTAATAAAAAACAACACAGATCTGTTGGGTATTTTATAGGCTACTAAATTACTCCCATAAGTATATTCTTTAAAAAATGATTTTAAAATAAATAAATGAATAAAACATATTTACAACCTTAAATCCAGAACATGTTGAGATTTTCACTGATTCTCCCTTTCCCATCATTCCACTGACTCTACCTTGGGGAGCGGGGAGAACAAAAGCTATATGATGTCTGTTTAAACTAAACGCAGAATGGTTTTAGATCAGTCGCTTAGCAGTGAAAAATATGCCCTTCATCAGTTGTGAGGGGGAAGCTCCTGATAGTGCCAGAGGGAAAAGGAACCAACGTTTATTGAGTTCTTACTTTGACTTGAGTTATTGAGTTCTTACTTTGCATCAGTTTAATTCTTATAACTCTCTGAGGGAGCGATTATCATCCCTGTGTTCAAAAGAAGCATTTTGTGCTTGGAAGGTTTTTATAACTTCCCCAGGGCAGTTTCACTTGATAAAGATAGAGCCCAGTTTGAGCCTGAGGGCCTGTTTCCAGATCTTTTCTTCCTCAAAGATTCTCCTTGGAAAGAATAAGCTTTTTGACATGACCAGTAATATATGAACACTTATATATATGTCCACTACACTCTTCTTTGGGGACACAGATACACATTGAAACAACTGGAAACGTCATTTAAAAAATCCTATTAGTTGAGCATTGATTCCTTCTTTCTGGAAGAGTAGAAATGGCTTTTTTGTTCTGTCATTTTTCCCTTGTAAAACAAGTTCACTCACAAAATTATTTGATAATATCATTTGCGTTAGGATTTTTTTTTCTTTCACATTTGTCTGATTTACACTAGCTATTAGTCTTTAATATTTGTTTGAGCAGACTTCTCAGAGTCCCCGGTATTACAGATATCAGATAGTGATTTAAGTGTGAGGATTCCAAATGTAAAAATTTTAACTCCAGGGAAATATCCTGCATAAGCTACCCTATTTTTCTTCTCCTTCCTTCTTCACACCTTCTTATAAACATTTCCTTTATTCTTCCTCTTACAAACTCTGAATTTTATTTTTTTTAATTTTATATATTTTTTCGATTTTTATTTATTTATTTGACAGAGATTACAAGTAGGCAGAGAGGCAGGCAGAGAGAGAGGAGGAAGCAGGCTCCCTGCTGAGCAGAGAACCCCATGCAGGGCTTGATTCCAGGACCCTGAGATCATGACCAGAGCTGAAGGCAGAGGCTTAACCCACTGAGCCACCCAGGTGCCCCCAAACTCTGAATTTTAAACAGAAAGTGGCTTAGGTGATAAAGGAATGAGTGTTTGCTCTAATGGTTAAAGGTTTTAAGTTTTGGATGTTTTGGGCTTTGTTTTAAACATGTGTTCTCTTAAAATAAACTTTTGTAATATCTGGTAAAATTAGTCAAACAAGTTCTTCTTTGGCCAGGAAGTTGACTATCCAAGACTTGGCCATTGCTGGAGTACTATAATCATTTAGTAGACTTTTCTTTTTTCCTTCAATATATTTTGGTTGCGTATTCTCAAGGTAGTTATAATGGTATGAGAAAAAGGCAACCAAAATAATGGGAATATTATTGAATATTGAATAGGGAGCATCACTGAAAAACAAAATGAAAATATAAATGCTCTACTCTAAAAATTAGAAGGCTAGAAGGGGTTGACATGGCAATTTCTGAAGTTATTAATCATTTTGACAGTCAGTAGTGAAATCCGGGGTTCTAGAATCACTAGATTCTAGATCACTTTGAATTAAGGGAGAAGTAAATTTAGTGCACATGAATTTGAGTGGAGAGATATTTAATTAGGAATATGTTTGGCTCTGAGTGACAGAGTACTGAAAGTAATAGTGGTTTAATAAGATAAGAGTTTGTCTCTGTAGAGACCAGAGGTAGTCAGCTCCAGGCTAGTCTGGTGGTTCCACAGTCATCTGGGTTTGGGTTTTTTCTTGCTTGTAGTTCTCTCATTCTTAGAATGGCACCTCATGGACCAGTATAGCTTCTCAAGCTCTGGCCATCATCTCTGCCTTGGAATCAGCAGGTAGGAAGAAGTGGGACAAGGATACTTCCTGGAAGTCATACACAACAACACTTCTACCTAAATATCTTTGGATAGAACTTAGTCATCTCAAATGGGTCCAGAGTTTCAGTTTGGGATGACTAAAGAGTTCTGGAGGTGGGTGGTGGTGATAGTTGCACAAGAATGAGGAGGTACTTAGTGCCACTGAACTGTACACTTAAAAATGGTTAAAATGGTCAATATTATAGTATGTATATTTTAAGACAAACATAGTCATCTGGAAGGGGAAGAGGCTTGAAATGGAATCTTTACTCAGGATAGCCATTGCCCTCCTAAAATTCTGAGGTTCCGTTACTAACGAAGAAAAGGGGAATGAGTATTGAGGGGTAACTAGCAGTCTTGTGATGGCCAAAAATAGAAAGAGTGACAAACAAAGGAACAGGAAAGAAGTATAGCAAGTCACATATGATCTGTGGAGTGAATTGGTCAGGGGCAGTATGGATTAATCATAGTTGTACCTTTCCTGGGGCAAAAGAAATGATGTCAGATGACTTTGTGGTGTCTAATCCAGATTTCTTATGTTTGTTCAGTGGCATTGCCAAAGCATGGAATCAGGCGTATTTTGGGGAAGGCTCTGGTCCAATCATGTTGGATGAGGTACGCTGCACTGGGAATGAGCTTTCTATTGAGCAATGTCCAAAGAGTTCCTGGGGAGAGCATAACTGTGACCATAAGGAAGATGCTGGAGTGTCCTGTACCCCTCTAACAGGTAAGAGTTTCACCCCATTTCACCCCATTAATCTATCAACCCTTGCCCCTAGCACCATCTGGGCTTACCTTCTCTTCTCAATTTAGATAATATAACTACATGAACACACCAGTAAATTCTGCAAATGAAACTAAAAACAAAGCAAAACAACTCACAAAAAACAAAAACCAAACAACTGACAGAAATTGTATATCAGCATGGTATGTCTTTGTTCATAAGTATTTCTGAATTTTTCACTTTTTTATAGTCTAAAAAGATAGATAAAAATATAATTTTTTATAATATATAATGCCTAACAGTCAAAATCAGTGTGCAGTGATAAATTTCACATTATTAGGCATATACTTAAGTCCATTTATTTATTGAACTGCCTTGACTCTCAGAATGTGTTTATAGCTCGTGGAACTGTATTGATGGGATTCTTGGTTAAAGCACACCAATAAAGGAACCAAGTTAACTTGGCTGTGCTCAATTCTCTGACTATTCCAGACTATAGCACACTTGTCTGGATATGTCTCATGTGTTATAAGAAGGGCATGTCTGAGTAAAATGAGTGTGTGTGTATGTAGTTACATGTTTTGTGGGAAGAAAAGGGAAAAGGATAGAAGGAAAGTCGGGTCATTGCAAACCCATTGTTTCTATGGTAAAAAACTTAAAGAAAAAAGTTGGGGGTTTTAATCTCTCTTTAAAAAATCAAAATAAAACCTTTGGAGGGCCCATGAAATGCTTAAGTTACACCTTTTTATTTACATAGTTCTCTATGTGATATTTTTATTAGAATAACATGTTTATATACAATGGAATACAATAGAAATATAACATTTATGCCAGATTTTAAGCCAGAGCACATCATCTTCTTGGGTCTCCTTTTCCTCCTCTTTCAAAGGAGTAGAGTCTTGTAGTGTTACTATGATGGTTAAATGAGGTAAAATGTGTACCAGTGTTTTGTAGACTGTAAAGTGTTACAAGAGAAAGTGATTGCGTTATTAAGAGACCATTTATTTTAAAGATCCCAGAGGTTCATGAAAAGTATGACCTTTACCCAGGACTGATAGGGTTCTCTGCGAATTAATTATTCATTGAACTCATAAGCTTCAAATTCAGATCTGTATTATCAATAAAAGAGCAAAAGCAAGACATGTACTCTAGCTTTTATAATTTATGAATGCCTAAGGAATAATAAATGCATTGACATGATAGATCACACTTTAACCAGAATAGCTTTTTCTGTCTTTGTATTTCAGAATTTTTTTCATTTGCAGCTACAATTTCGAACTATTTCCAAGTTACTGTTTTCTTATTTTTTAAATGTAAGTGACTGATATTTTTCCTACTTACCAAGACTGAAGCTACAAGAAATTTCCCAAATATTTGTTTAATCTGGGGAAATCCAAATAACTACTTTGGAATTATATCAGAATATATTTTTCTACTCAGGAAATAGAAGTGCAAGTAAGAAGAATATTTTCTTAGGACGGATATGGTTATGTCATACTTCAGAAACAATTCAGTGACCTCAGATCATTGAGCACTGTCCCAAAATAAGTTTAACAAAAGGCCTTGAGAGAGACCTGAAGAAGTGATAATTCTAGTGAAGTTAAAATGTTTTTCTCCCTTTTTTTGATCATTGATTTTCTTAGTTTCTGTCTCCTCCTTCCCACAGATGGAGTCATGCGACTTGGAGGTGGTAAAGGCAGCCACGAGGGCCGCCTGGAGGTGTATCACCGGGGACGGTGGGGGACTGTCTGTGATGATGGCTGGACTGAGCTGAATACATACGTGGTTTGCCGACAGCTGGGATTTAAGTAAGGCTCATTGATGTGAGGCGGCTAAATGCCAAATTATATTTTTAAGATTCTCATTTTGTAATCCTTACTTGTAATTTCTGTCATACTAACAATACGTGTTCTCCGTCATCTATCTACCTGTCCATCTATCTACCCACCTACCTACCTATTCCCCTTTCTATATATGGAAGGACAAAAAACCTCAGTAAAAAACGGTAACATTGGGGCGCCTGGGTGGCTCAGTGGGTTAAAGCCTCTGCCTTCAGCTCGGGTCATGATCCCAGTGTCCTGGGATCGAGCCCCGCATCGGGCTCTCTGCTCAGCAGGGAGCCTGCTTCCTCCTCTCTCTCTGCCTGCCTCTCTGCCTACTTGTGATCTGTCAAATAACTAAATAAAAAATCTTTAAAAAAAAACACAAAAAGGTAACATTTTCTGTGATGACGAATAACCATATCTTGGGTTATTTATCTCATTACCTTTCCTGTCACCACCCTTCTTGAGTAATTGGTTAGAGCCACGGGTGACTTTTAGATTTCTTTCTTTTTTTTTAAGGTTTTATTTATTTATTTGACAGGGAGAGAGAGATCACAAGTAGGCAGCGAGGCAGGTGGGGTCGGGGGGAAGCAGACTTCCTGCTGAGCAGAGAGCCCAACGATGTGGAGCTTGATCCCAGGACCTGATCATGACCTGAGCTGAAGGCAGAGGCTTAACCCACTGAGCCACCCAGGTGCCCCTAGGTTTCTTTGTGTCTATTCAAGTAAGACTCTATGCTTTGAATGCTCGGTTTTATTCGGACGCATCACTGCTATTAGATGGTGTTGGTTCTGACATCATCGCGTCTGAAATTGCAGGGAAGTCCAGTGTCACATGCTTTGGTATTACATTACTCCCTTTCTCAAATGTGATGATAATTATCACTTTTATTTGAGAAAAATGGCCTTCTTGTCATGAGATGACCTTTCCAATTCACCCTTGACCTGACTCGTAAAATCTAGTATCACACTTTGGGCAGTGGATTTCATGTCACACACATACTGCATTCCAGAGTAACTGCAAATGATGCCTTTTAGCTGCTATTTGAATGAAGCCCATGAATGCCCATTCTTCTCTTTTTTCATATTTCTGGGTCATGCTTGAATTAATTGTCTCAAGCTTGAAAAAATTGACAAAATCATTTCATGCTTGAGATAGAGCTAATTGCAAATATTCATTAAACCTTAAAAATATACTTTCATCCAAGCCAAGTATCATCATGTTTAAACATATTTTTAAATTTGTAAAATTAGTATAAAATACTAGAGCTTAGAAAATAAAAATTAAAAAACTACCCATAATTTTTCCATTCTTATACCATTATTATAATAATTTATGTGTATAATTTTATAACAACTGATAGTGAGTATGTACTTTTTTTATCCATATTACTTACCTTTATATTACTACAGTCAAAATTTTTAATGACAACATAATGTCCATTAAATGTTCATACCATAATTTACTTAATATTTAGGTTAGTTTAATTTTTTCTATTATAAACAATGATACCATGAAGATATAAATACATGTTATTGCCCAATATTTTGCATTTTCATGGGCAGTGTGGTTGTGATTACTGTGTCAAGGGATATGACATACCAGCCAAATAAATATTAATGTTTAATTAATAAGAATTATTTAATAAGTGCCATTTCATCTTTGAATGAATTTCTGTTAGGCCTGAGAACTGTGTTCCATTTTTACAGATTTAGAAAGATTCGTAAATACTATTAGTTACTATATATTTTGCCTTATTAATAAAAACAGTAGAGTGACAGTTTTTCTCCATATTTTTTTAATTTTGTTTCACAAATACATTCAGTTTTTCTTATATATACAGAACATCACCTTAATGGTTTAAAAATGTTCTCACTAATATTTGTTAAAAGTTCTAAATGATTGTGTTAGAAGATAGAATAAGCGTGGGCCACATTTACTTTTTGGTTTACAGAGGAATTTCTAAAACAGTATGTTTTGAACTAAGGAAGGGGTGAACTCTGGGTTTCTTTGTACAAATGAAATCTCAAAGTAAAATGACTTCTTATCTGTTATATAGTTGATGTGGACAGGGAGTAATCAGATTTATGCATTTTGTGGAAAAGTGGTGTAAATTCAAAGTGGTAGCAGTATGAGATTTAGGATAATTTTTTTTTCTCGCTGAGATTTGATTAGTTAGCAAAATGGAGATCTTAGGATAATGAAAAGTTGCAGTGTTTTTAATTTATTGAAATGTTCATCTTCTTAAATGTAATACAAGTGCATTACAAGAAACTGGGAAAATTAATGCGAGAAAGATTTCTTCATATTCTTTATGTAGAAATAATAAAAACATTCAGTAAAGGAAGTGACTGACAAAATTTTATGAGTATGAGTTTAATTACATAGACTCTTAGAACCAAAAAACACCTTAAATAATTTTTAGCTCAGTTATTTCTAGAGGTTTGGATTTTGCAGAATAAAGAAAACAAAATTGGGGGGAGGATGAATGAAAGTACAGATTGTGACTTAGTTAGCAACTTTTTATTTTGCAACTTTTTCCTGTTTCCATAATGTATATATTTATTATTTTTTTGTGGAGCATTGTTACAAAGAAAGTCAATTGGAACTCAATATAATTTATACACTTTTAAAAATCAGATTTATGTAACAACGAAAAGCAAAGAGCATCGCCATTATTCTCATTTTGGTGAGCTGAAATCCGAGTCTTATCATGAATTGGGTGTAGTGCTTGAGGAATCACTGAACTTATACACAGTTTTTATTTTGGAAGAGATGATGCCAAAGAGGTCTAGAGGAACTGATGAAATCAGATGAGCTCAGGCGGCTCTTGAGAGGCCAATACAAGACAATTGTTATAATTTTATGGTTTATGGTGTTATTTCCATTGTCAGGAATGGGAGGTCCATTTCTTTGCTATGCATTCTGTCTGTTTGGTGAGTTAAATTGTAGCCAAAACACAAGAATGAATGGGGGAAAAGGATTAATTATCCATTAGGTACCTGTTGAGTCAATAAAAAATTGTTAAGATGATCAAAATGTGTGATGGGATGAACACTGCTCTTGAACTGTGTCTTTCAGAGTTTTATTTTATTATTTTTTTTAGATTTATTTTGAGTGCATACTCGCTTGAGAAAGAGAGTGAAAGAGAGCACAAGCGGCGGGGGCGGGGGTGGGGGTGCAGCAGGCAGAGGGAGAAGCAGGCTCCCTGCTGAGTAGGGAGCCCAGTGCGGGCTCAATCCCAGGACCTTGAGATCATTACCTGAGCTGAAGACAGACACTTAACTGACTGAGCCACCCAGGCGCCCTGGAACTGTGTCCTTCAGATAAGAGAAAGAACAAGCACTTATCCTATGGAGTTATGATGATTAATCAGGTTGTTTGTTTTATGATTTGTGGTTCTTTGAAACAAGAGACAGCAGTTCTATGCACAATGTTTATTTTTATTGCCACAGATATGGCAAACAAGCCTCTGCAAACCACTTTGAAGAAAGCACAGGGCCCATATGGTTGGATGACGTCAGCTGCTCAGGAAAGGAGTCCAGTTTGGTTCAGTGTTCCCGGAGGCAGTGGGGAAGGCACGACTGCAGCCATCGGGAGGATGTTGGCATCACCTGCTACCCTGGTGGCAATGGATACAGACTATCTCTGGGTGAGGATTGGCAGCAGCTTTGGAGTAGCCGTAATTCAACACCCACTGCACCTCTATCCGCTGGTCTGGAATGGGAAGCATTTCTCAGCTTTGGCTTTTTTTAAGTCAGTTTTCTATGATGTTCTGAAAAAACTTTTGAGTCTTTCCACCAAGGTTATAAAATTTCTATTCCTCAAGTTATTATTCTTTACATAGAAGCCTAAGTTTCTCACTAAAAATCTTTAAAATCACATGTATCTGAAAGATGGAATAAAGAAGCTGCGGTGTCCATTTCCCCCCTGATTGGTCACCGGCTCTGATTCTCATTCACCTTGAATTCTAATGAATGATTTGGGATGGGATTAAAAAAAATTAGAACAAAACAATAGCTCTCTCTTGCATTCCCCACGATTTATTTCTTCTTTAGTCCCAAGGCCTTGTCAGTCATTGGTCACCAGTCATTCATTGCTCTGTACTCACCTAGATCTTTCCAGTTTCTCAGTAGGTTCCTAAGAGGATTATTGGAGTAAATAACCCATCCATCTTTCTAAGATATCCTGTTATTCTAGAAACCCATCTGTGTCCTTTACTATTCCCCCATTCCAAATTTCTTTATATCTCTAGTCAGATAAAATGTGACTGGTTTGTCTAACAGTCTGGAAATATTTGGGGGTAAAAATCCTTCTGTAAGCAGAGGGCAACTACATGTCCTTGACTGACTTAACATCTGACTGTTCTTAACATCTTAACATCCTTTGAGGATGGCAGAGTAATTATAAATGAAAAATATAGAGGGAGATATTAAAAAGAATTGCCAAGACTACCGTGGCTCCATTATATATCGAAACACATAGTTTTTGGTGAATAGATGTTAAAATGATCACAAGTGGTCCTTACTTTTCACCTCAGAGTTGCATCAACCCCTTTTGCATCCTTCTGTTTTGAGACTATGAAGCTTTAATCTTCACATTATAAAATAACACAACTTGTTGAATCCCACAGTATTTATTGTGTACTTAAGTTTGTCAAAGTATGTAGTTGATTCCTCGTTGTACTCTAACCTGTGAGATCATGGTGACTCACTGCTCTAACCTAACATGATACCAAGGAGAAATAGAACATTTTACTCCACCCCTTAGTCATACTTTCAGTTTTGCTTTTCATTTGTCCTCCTTTCTTCTGCGGGATTTCTAATCTTCCCGGGATTATGTGAGGAGTGATTGTGTGTGGCTGGGGGAAATAGAACATGTTTGCTAGACATGGATACCCTTGGCTCCAGATAGCAGGTATTTGGATCACGAAGTGATCTACTCAGGCACATTGCATCGGTACTCCTGGTGATGAAGTACTCTAAATACTATACAAATTATTATAATCAGAGCCCCCTGGAAACCTGTGTGGTTAAATGCATGCATATGGTCAGGCAACTAATTTTTCCAATTCCCCTGAAAATCTTTAATTCTAGGATTCTAGATATATTTTTTAAAATTTAAAAAGCTGAGGATGATAATTATTAATAAAATATGTGATCATTATTATAAATGTCTTTGGTCCTAATTTCAGTAATACATCTATTAACTATTCATTTGTCTGAAGAACATTATGTCTGGGCCAAATATACTTTTGGGATAGAATCATATTACCACTTCTTCATCCAAAGAGATCATTATTTTCCCACTTATCAAAAAGGACTGCATATTTAAAACAAGCTTAGAGAAGGAAATCATGGAATTGTAATATAAAAAAATAGCATTTTAAAAACAATTGAGATTTTTTACTTCTTTGGCACTGTAGTAGTGAGTTGTCAGACTATTACTGTTTTCAAGTATTTGAGAGGTAACTTGTGGACCTTAACTTTAGATGTGAATTGAAGTCCTCAAAATTAATAATTGATCAATAGACACTTTTTATATTTGGGTGTGTGGTAGATGGAATGCTCAAAAGCAATATTCTAATTCAATATAAGTAATTCTAGTAAGAATGCAGTTAATACCCTGTAGGAACTGGGGGAAATTTGAGGGATGGTAAGTATGTGGATTTCTCATTTGAATATTGCACCAATTTTTTTTTAAAGTTTTATTTATTTAAGTAATCTCTACCCCCAGCATGGGACTCGAACTTATGGCCCTGAGATCAGGAGCTGCATGCTCTTCTGGAACCAGCCAGGTGCCCCAGTATTGCACCAATTCTGAATTTCAGAGTATTAAATCCTAGAGAGATTTTGTCCACAGTGAGACGGTCTCTTACCCAATTTTATAGCATAACATCGTGACTTTTAACTTAGCTAAATTTTATCTTCTCTAAAAATATTATTTTCTAGAAATAATGTATTAAATCAATGTTACAGGAGAATTAAAATAAAGAAAACTCTATTGGAAGTCCAAATTTGAAATATAAAATTACATATGATTTAAGATACCATATACCCATTGTACTGTTTAGTTTTCCTGAGCATTTTATATTTAAGATTTTAGAAATAAAACATGTATATTATTGCTACCATAACAAAAAGAACTTAAATAGTAAGATGGTATTGATAGAATGTCATCCTAAATGTCATCCAATTTTCCCTTTAAGCATTGAAAATCCAACAATTTTGTAAAACGAAGTGCTGAAATTAGGTTCAGAAATGCTGCATGCATTATTTGTATGAAGCATGTAATTGAGGTTTTAGAAACACTTTATCATTTTTATTTTTATGGTTTATGAAAAACTGTCCATAAAATGCCTAGAATGAAATATGAAGATCTCATTCCATGTGCATGTGTTTTCTTAATTTTGGACCAAACATCCAAAAATGTAAAAAATTTAGAACTTTAAGAAAAGAATATCACCTTTTTTAGGTTTTTTTTTCTTTGAAGATCACTTTTCTATCTTATTCCTTAAAAGAAACACAAAAACTCCAGACTTTCAGATAGATTAATAAGAAATGTAAAGTTTCAAGTATACTGTGTTTTGTGCTATGGCTAAAACCCCAAGTTTTTTAGCTATTGTAAGCAGTGCATAGAGTAGGGACTCCATAAACATTTGTTGATTTTGACTTTGCTTTATTGATTCTACTATGACAACTAGTAGATAGATAATAGTAGACAGATACCTGGCCCACAAAGTGAGTATGACAGGGATAGAAACTAAAGAGCCGGCAACTTGGAGGATAACAAAGAAGGATGGAAAAGTATAAAAATGGATCAGAAGACTCAAAGTAGGACATGTCCCTGTTGCCAACAGTATTTTCTGTCAGCCAACAAATGCCAATCTAGTACTTTCATATGTTGGTTTAAACAGAAATGATATTTTGTTCTTTAGCTGCTTACTTCACCTCCTTAGTTCTGCCTGAGTTCAGCTTGCTTCATGGTTTTCCCTAAATCCTTATCAGTAAATCTCAGGGGCCCTGAAGCTGAAAACCCTTCTAGAATCTGAAAGGTATTAATTTGCTTGGGCTGATATAACAAAACATCACAGTGGATAGCTTACACAACAGGTATATATTGTCTTACATTTCTGGAGTCCAAAATCAAGGGGCCATCAGGAGTGGTTCCCTCTGAGGGCTAAGAGGGAAGGCTCTGTTCCAGGCCTCTCTCCTTGTCTTACAGATGGCCCTCTTCACCCTGTGCATCTTGACATAGTCTCTTCCCTTTTTACATAGTCATAGTGGATCAGGGCCCACCCTAATGACCTCACAGTTCAACCCAGGACAGTATGCAAAGGGCAGCGAGGGCTTTTGGTTAAATAGCACCATATTTATTGGAGTTGGTAGAGATATGTGAAATTCTACAAATGACTTCATTTGCATAACTTAGATAAACCTCAGTTTGAAAGAGATCAGTTTCTCAACTTTAAAAAAAATAGAATGAGATTTTAGAAAATTTTTATTTTCATTTTTTACTACAGCATTTAAAAAATTGAGGTATGATGAACATATAACATTATATTAGTTTCAGGTATACAACATAATGATTCAATACTTGTATACATTGTGAAATGATCACCACAGTAAGCCTAACACCCATCACATAACATAGTTACAAATTTTTTTTCTTGTGTTGAGAACTTTTAAGATCTACTGGCAGCAATATTCAAATATGAAATATATTATTAACTATATTCACCATACTGTACATAGCACTCTTTGAAATCTTAGTAATTTTTATGACTTAAGCCCTTCTTTTGGAAACAGTAAATAGGAAGACTGAAATGGAAATTGCCCTTGTTAGCTGCTGCCTTCTTTACTTTTTTTCCCCTATACATTCCAGTTACCCATGCAGGGTGTGTGTGTGTGTGTGTGTGTGTATAAATATATATAATATATATATATATATATATATATATATATATCCCTAAAAATCTCAGCTTTGGAGTATAAATTTCTAGTTATGTTCAAGGATAAATGAACATACGTGAAACAAAACAACTCTAAGGAAATGTCTTTTATAATTTAGAAGTTAATGGTAATAAAATAAGACTATTCACAATTTTGCAGTGGTAATCATTCATTCATTCACTCACTCAGCAAACAGCTACCTCATGTCCTCTGTATGTGAGGCACTGTTCCAAGTGCTGGGAATTCATAGTTGAGCAAGTGAGTACTCTGACCCCAAGTCTTCAAATGACATTGCAAAAGTGGATACAGTTTTTTATTAAAACCTCTTCCTCACCCTCTCTTATGTTACCCAGCTGATTTTATAGCTGATGTAAAAAATGAATTGTATTTTATAAAGTCTCTCATACTTTAACATTAGTTTGCTGTTTTGGCTTTTCTAATACTTTCAAATCATACTTAGGTTTTCCTATCAGACTGGTGGATGGAGAAAATAAGAAGGAAGGACGAGTGGAGTTGTTCATCAATGGCCAGTGGGGAACCATTTGTGATGATGGCTGGACTGATAAGGATGCAACTGTGATCTGTCGTCAGCTTGGCTACAAGTAAGAAAAACCGAATCATTTGGCATGATTTCTTGATGAGCATTTCTGACTTTTTAGGTTTGTTCTAATGAGTTATTTCTTACCTAAAAATAATTTCTATGAATCAATTGGAAATACTGGCAGCATACTGACTTGATTCCAGATTATTAAGAAATACTAAGGAGAGTCTGCTTAAATTTTTCTATTTTCCCAAAAGCAAGATACATTGTTACATGAGAAATATAGCTTTGGGGGCAGGTGGCTATCTCAGCTGGGAGAGCATGCAACTCCTGATCTCAGGGTCGCCAATTCAAGCCCCGTGTTGGGCCTAGAGCTTACTCAAAAAAAAAAAAAAAAAAAAAAAGAGCTTTTATTTAATAGCAAATAGTCTAATAATTCTTGAATATTCATAATACTGCTTTTATCAGGTAAAGTTGGTAACCTTTTCTTTTTGATTTAGGTTTCAACCCTGTAGCCTTTTTAAGAGACTCTGGAGTTACTGAAATTGTGGTTGGTTCTCCTTATTCACAGCCATTATACTTTCTAAAGTCACAGTGAACACAGTATCAGCAAATACTGAGCCATTGCTTCTAGAGTTAAGGTTGAACAAGAAGATGCTCTGCCTTCTTATTTTAGCTTTCAAACTTGCAAAATTTTGGTCTATTAATTTTTTTTCATTTTTTGATGATTTCACTGTTTTTTTTTTCTTTTTTAAAGATTTTATTTATTTGACAGAAACAGCAAGAGAGGGAACACAAAGCAGGAGAAGTAGGCTTCCTGCTGAGCAGAGGTGGGGTTTGATCCCAGGACCCTGGGATCATGACCTGAGCTGAAGGCAGATGCTTAACGACGGAGCCACCCAGGTGCCCCAATGATTTCACTGTTTAAAATGCCATCAATGTAGGGTGCTCAAGAGCTATCCAGCATTCCTGAGAGCAAAAAGGCTGTGATGCACTTTCTGGAGAAAATATAGGTGGTAAATAGGCTTCACTGAGGCATGAGTTTCAGTGTGAAAAACATGGCACTAAGTAGACTGCGAAAAGGACACATGTTTCAGTTTGAGAGCTGAAATAAATAAGAAGGTTATCTTCTTGTGAGACCTCAACTGGGCAATGCACATTTGTGGGGGTTTTGAACATGTCTGCAAATGACTGTGAAAACACTATGAGTATTAATTTGGCAGCTGCAAATATATGCAACATGTTACAGTTTAGAGGTTATGAAATTTAAACAAATATGCATAAATTGATGAGCTCATAATGGATTACTAATGTTGGTTTGGATTTTATTTTATTATTTTATTTTTTTAAAGATTTTATTTATTTATTTGATACAGAGAGAGATCACAAGCAGGCAGAGAGAGAGGGGGAAGCAGGCTCCCCACTGAGCAGAGAGCCTGATGTGGGGCTCGATCCCAGCACCCTGAGATCATGACCTGAGCTGAAGGCAGAAGCTTAACCCACTGAGCCACCCAGGTGCCCCTGGTTTGGATTTTAAAATATATCTTTAATTATACACCTATGTATATCTTAAATATTGATAAATTTAGTTGGTTATTCCTATGCAGAATACATTTTATTTTTACAAGTATTTCTAATTTGCGATGCCTGGGTGGTCCAGTTGGTTAAGTGTCCGGCTCTTGATTTTGGCTTAGGTCCTGGTCTCAGAATTGTAAGATCAAGCCTCCTTGGGCTCCATGTTCTGGTGGAGTCTGCTTGTCCCTCTCCCTCCCACTCTGCCCTCCTCCTCTGCCCCTCCCCCACAACATGTGCATGTGCTCTCGGTCTCTCTCAAAAAATAAAATCTTAAAAAAGTAGTATTTCTTGATTTAATAAGAATTCAAATGCTTTTTCTAATTTTTTAATTCAAAGTTTGCTTTTGGTTACCCAGACCCTACTTCAATTTACTGCTGCTCAGTTTTGGACTTGGTTGCAATTCCAATTATCTTATGGTAAATGGGTCCATTATTTGTGACACAGATTTTCAGTTTTCAAACTGGTTGTCTAGATGTCTAGGTGAATTTCATCAATAATATAAGTTTCCTTGGCTCACTACATTTCTAACACTTGTTTCTTTATTTGAAAAAAGTATTATTTTTCTTAACATTTAATTCACAGTGAATTTATCCAAAATCAGCCATTAAAATATATTGCTGTTTGAGACTGGTTACTTTGCCATGCTTTTATATTTTTATTAGAATAATCCAGGAAACCTAGTATTATTTTTGGAAATATGAAGGTAAAGATCAAGTTTGATTGTTGAATTGTGTGTTCTAGGTAAAGTTTAAAGAGAAAATGTTCATAAGCATATCCATCAATGGATTTTCACTTTGGCTTTTTTCTACATTTTTCATTGCTTTTTACTTATCATCAGTCCATTTTATATTTAACTGAAATAGTGAATTTAGGTAAGAAAGAATATAGATTAAATGAACAAATTTGTAGTAATTTTCTTTTTTTGAAAAGATTTTATTTACTTATTTGACAGAGAGATCACAAGTAGGCAGAGAAGCAGGCAGAGAGAGACAACAGGGAAGCAGGCTCCCCGCTGAGCAGAGAGCCTGATGTGGGGCTTGATCCCAGACCCTGGGACCATGTCCTGAGCTGAAAGCAGAGGCTTAACCAACTGAATCACCCAGGCACCCCTATAGCAATTTTCAATAATATTTCTGTAAGAATTATCGAGAAAAGCATTGGAAGATCTTACTTTGTAACTGTTTCTTTAAAAAAAACAAACATCTTATTTATTTATCTCAGAGAGAGCAGGAGGGCAGGGGGAGAGACTGAGAGAGAGCGCGCATGAGTGGAGGGAGGGGGAGAGGGAGAAGCAGATTCTACCCTGAGTAGAGAGCAGAGCCTGATTCGGGGCTCGACCCCAGGATTCTGGGATCATGACCTGAGCCAAAGGCAGATGCTTAACCAACTGACCCACCCAGATGCCCCACAATTGTTTCTTTAAAATAAAGTCTCTTGGGACGCCTGGGTCATGATCCCAGGTTCCTGGGATCGAGTCCTGCATTGGGCTCCTTGCTCAATGGGGAGCCTGCTTCTCCCTCTGCTTGTGCTTTCTCTATCTGACAAATAAATAAATAAAATCTTAAAAAATAAAATAAATTCTCTTAGTAAATCAGTAATTTAATGTTATTATAACAAATTGGATAATCATCTTCTAGTGCACAATCTGTAATTTACTGTCTAAAAATATTTACATGAGAATCATTTGGATATTTGTTCAGTCTAAACATACTTAAATGTTTTTATAATTTCCCACTAGGGGAAATGGATTTCATGTTAGAACATATATATAAATGTAAACAAGTATGTGACTAGAGTAGATTTTTTTCCTCGAGGTCTGCTTTGAATTGGTACAAATCTTTAATAAGGCATTTGTTTGTAATAATCAATCCAGAAAACATCTAAGCTGTCCAAAGGTTTGGTTGGGTCTTATTAATAGGAGTTCCAGAGCTCTGTCCCCCAGACAGCTATATCATACGTGACGCTTCCTCCTTGGAAGTACTGAGAATCAAAATAGCATTCGAAAGCATTTCCACAATGGGAGAAACAAAAATGAATAAACACCAGGAAACATGAATGATAACTAATGTAGATATGCTTAAACAGAAAGTAAAAGGCATTATTTAATTATGTTTTACATGTTACATAATATCTGAAAAAGTCATATTATTTTTAGAGGGTTGAGAGAGAGTGTGTTGATATCAGTTACACTTGTTAAGGTAGACTAAATAACTGTAGTGAAAATTCTATTCTATTTGAACTTTGTTTGAATCCATTAGCATATGTTTTCAAGATGACATTGTTCTTGAACTGTGTATTTATTGTAGCATCCCTTGAAAGAATCTGCAAAATAGCATGTCCCTACCCGAGTTAGTAGAGACCTAAAATTAAAACTAGGTATCTAGTTTTTGTTTTATAATTAAATTGAAACTAGATATCTAGTTTTTGTCTTATAATTAAATTGATGCAAAAGATTTAATTTCTGGCATATTTGTATATGACACTTAAAAATAGAACTGTTATATCACTCTTAATTATAATCCAATGGAGTATCAGTATCATAGTGACTCGACGCTCTCTGTCATCTATTTAAAAAATATAGGAACAAACTCTTCCTTGACCTTCAGAAATTTTACATAGTTCCTTTTTCTCCTTGAAATTATATTTAAAGTATTCCTTCTCCACAGAAACCTAATGTTATTATGCTTAAAAAAAAAGTGTATATGAGTATATATATACATATGTTGTGTGTATGTATACGGCAATTGTGTGTGTGTGTGTGTGTATGTGTGTGGACACACATGGAGAAAGCAAGAGAGAAATTAAATCCTTCTGACATGTTCCTCTCTGGATTTTATGATTTCTAGTATACAATTGATTAAAGACAACAAAAAAAGAAGTTTGAGAAGTAATTACTAAACATAGGAAATAAAAGCTGACTAAAGCTCCCATTTCTAACTTAGATTGATGCGTTGGGTTTATGGTGCTTGGTTAAAGGAGGCTTTATTGCTATCATATATTTAGAACTGTTCTTTTGTCCACTTGAGAGGCTTTTAAATCTTGGAGCAATGCCCCGTGGTAGGATTTGGGATGAGTGGAAAAATACGTTTTTCTTTTGTGTAGGAGGAGAAGGAAAATTTTGAAACAAAAGTTGATTTTGATTTCAGCAAGACCAGTTTTAGGAGAGAATACCGATGTAATTCGAGAATCTGAATATCGATTCCCTTAAAGCCCATATATCCCTGGGAAAGTCATCTTCTACTTCCAGGAGCACTTAACACTCAGTTTAAAGACTGACTAAAGTATTGGATGGAGTCTGTTGTCTGCTGGGAATTACTGCATGCCTATAGCTCAGTGGGAAATCTTTCCCCCTTTTTCTAAAGATGACACAGTCCTTAACTGTTAAAAAAAGTCACAGGAAATTTTTTTAGACTTCACTATATTGTTGAGAATGTCTTTATTTAATCATGTACTTTTATTAGTTTAAATGTTCCCTAATTTCTTCTG